GGGGGGGGGGGTCAAGTGAAGGATGAATAACCGAAGTTCTTCACTGTTTATCCTAATTTGAATGATTAGTTTTGTTTAAAAATTTCTATTAGTCTTAGGTCTTTAGAAAGGGTTGGGTAGTGAATCGACGTTTGAGGTCGTTAGACACTAATTAAGTGGGTGGGGGAGAACAAAGTTGTTCTGTTTGATCCAAGGATAAGCCTTGATGATCAAATTTGAAATTTAATTAAGTAGAAAATGATTTAAGATCCAAGGATAAGCCTTGATGATCTGGTTTTAAAATTAAGTGAATTTAAGTTTTAATAAAATTTTAAATGTGTGTAAAGGAAAGATTTAGTGTTTTGATGATATTAGTGGGTTTATGATTGCTGTTATGTTTTAGATGATGGAGCTGGAACAACAGGATGATTTATGATTACTAACCATTTATTGTCATGCTACTAATTTTTATTTTTTATTTTTCAATAAATATTTTTCAAACATGTTTTGTATATTACTGCAGAGTTTTAGGAAAACGATCTTAGATCTTTTTATCAATCGTTATTGTATATTAATAATTTTGTTTAGCGCCTGAAATGATTTTGAAGATTAACTTCAAGGTTTTATGTTTGCAAATGAAAATCTAAATTCATTGCCAGTAGTATTCTAAATATAAAAGTTTGTTCTGGTTTTTGCCTAACTATCATATAGCTATATGGCAAGTTTCTACTTTGTCGTATGTCGTCTCTGGTTCGAGGTCTTCTTCCAATTCCGGGTAGTTCTGTTATGGTTCGGAATATTGGCTCTGATCTATTGAGTCGTAGAGACATTTCGATTAAATTATTGTCGTATAACATTTTGTAAATGTTTTTGTTTAATGTCTAATCTATTTTGGTTAATTCTAAGCTATTAAGGTCTTGTTCGAGACTTATGGTCGCACCAGATGAGTTAGGACCGAGTTGGTTAACTCATAGAGTAATTTCGGATAGGGTACACCGTCTGCTCGTCACGCTATCTTATTTTCGGCCGGATAGATTCGTGCAACTTCTTAGTCTAATACCGATCCTAATCTTACTCTTATACTATCTAGTCTCAGGTTGTTTAACTAGTCTCTGCTAGGCTCAATAGATCTAGGGTATACTGGTTTATTGCGGCTGCTGAAGTGCTCGGGAGAGTCCAACTAATTTCTAAGTTAAATTCAAATCTCTCTGGTGCTGAAATTACAAGTAACTTCAGCACTTACAAATAAGTGGGTTGTTAGTTAGATGGATCATGATTGGTTAATATTAAATACTTTACATTGGTAAAATATCTAAATTATCCAATCATAAAATGTAGTTTAGATCAGGTTCCACTTTTCTGGATGACAAATATGAAGTGTCGCCAGTTTTGTTTGCTTCCAAACTTTTGAACTATTTTCGAAGACAGTTTTAGCGTCAAAAAGAAATTTCTTCAGGCCTTCAAAATTATATATTTTCTAAGGATATCTAAAAGTTCAGTTCTTGAAATCCAAAACAGAGTATTGGCAATTGGCATCAACGTACAATGAAATAAGCCTCAGGGGTATTGAATATAGGAAGATTATTAACTAAGGACCAATTCATCGCTTGTGATATAAATGGACACTTGGAAGCCCGAAATTACATTTAGGTCAAACCATTTTTTGTTCACTGGGGCAAAAAAGATGTGCACTCAATGGCTTGATCAAAATCTACTTAAGGCTGTGAATTTTTTGCACAATCTATTGCGTAAAAATAGTCCCAGGATTCACCTAGCGTGGGGAACGCAATGAATAATTAACTTAACGGACAAAAGGATGCAATTTGTCTGGAAAAAAAAAGAGAGCTTGGGGCAAAAAGAGAGACGTCATAACATTTTCCACAAAATCGGATCTGAACTGTGGAAACTGGTACATTAATGGACCAACACTTCAGCCTTGATCTTGTTTGAACCACATTTGTTTCTATTTTAGTTTTTATCCCTCTTGATTTGAAGGCATCGAAAAGAAATTGCCGAAAGAATTAAAATCAAATTCTAATATGAACTCAAGATTGCTTGTAACAGAGCAAAATTCTAGATGACCCGAAAGGCTTTTAATTTCTCTATTTTTTTCTAGCTGGAAACTATTGATGAAAATTTTGAACAAGAAAAACAGTTGATTGAGTTATGTCAGCTCATAAAATTATGTTGCTTCCTAAAATTCTTAGTATTTCATATTACTTTTTGACATTGAACAAAAAAATTGTTGAAAGCTGATGATTTTCAATCTTCACCATAAAAATTCGAAAATATTTGCAACAGAACACTCAAAAAGTAGACAGAAAAATTTCATCTTCAAACAAACGTCAGATTCTGCATTGGAATTGGTATCCAAAAATAACTATAAGTATGGCCACATAAAAGCTCATTCGCTGAAAGTAAAGTTATGAAAAAGTGCCATCTGTCAGTTTTAACCAAACGTCACTGTCGATGATTTTTTGCCTTACAGACTAAATAAGTGCAGCTAACAATTTTTTTTTGACAAAAAGAAAAACATGGGAAACAATCCACTTGGTCTTGACCACATTTATTTTGGGGGAAAAGGTCTGAATATTGCTGTATGGCAACCTTCAAACCACCTCAATTTAAATCAAAACAATCAAAAATTTTCAAAAAACGGGGGAAACAATTGTTTCATCCACAAATACTCAATGTTTTCTGTATATTGTTTTTTCAATGTCTAAAGTTATCAAAACTGGCCTTGAAAATCTGTTAGAAAATGTAGAGTTGAGTCTTCACATATATATAAAAAAAATCGCTTGCAGGGCGAGTCCTGGGTTTTTTTGAGAGGTAGGCCGAATTTTATAAAAGCGAAGTGTTAGAAATATGATGAAGTTTTTTTTTGTTGGCAAGTCACATGTAGTCTCTAGGAAATTCTTACACAATTGAACCAATGCTTACAAATGTTCTGCACCGCAGACAAATATAAACAACGATAGGCGACAAAATAAGCGTCGTTTGTTCTGTGCGCTCGTGAAGAAATTAAGAAACGTTCTTACTTTTTCAATTTTTTTTTTATAATTTGTGAAGTTTTCGATTCTCAAAATGGTTTTAAAAATTTAAAAAAAACTAAATTTACTTGAGAAAAATTAAAATTTAACAGTTTAAAAAACATTTGAAAGCCTACAAAATTTATTTTGACAAACAATGTTAGCTAGAAAATAGACCAAAAATCAAAAATATCAATGCGGTTTTTCTCGACACTGAGAAAAAATGATCAGAATTTTTCATTATCGTTCAAATCACGACTGAAAATAATTTATTATCGTGTATAATTTGACTCATTCTGATGATTACCTGTGGAAATGATTGTTCGTGAAAAAAAAAGAAGAAAAAAACGTACGACACACCACAATACAAAGTTTCGCCATATTTTTTCAAATTGATAGAACAAAAACAAGCCAAAGAATTCCTTTTTAGGAGCTTTTAAGTCCAAGAGTTTTCCTTTTTTCATCTTCGGTACTAAACGGGTTGAAAAATGCTATTCATGTGTCTTCTTTACACTTCCCTTTGAACTCTTCTATTTATAAAATTGGTAGAAAGTTTTTTGCCTAGCAATTTCTCCTGCTACATAATTGGATTTCTACCATGAAACTTTTTGACTCTCATTTTAATAATCTATCAAGTCGCTATCAAATTTTCATAAAACCATCTAATCATAAATTATCATAGCGTTTTTTGTTTCTTAGTTTCATTTCTATCTTTAGTTTCTTAGGCTCACTTACCGCTAGAGTATAGACAAAAGGTCACTACGAACCTACTTTTTATGCAGCTGTTATAATTTAATTTAATTGCATTTAGAGAGGATTGAGTCTCAGTTTGGTGTGTGTAGGTCTCTGGAACGATCAAAGAAACCAAAAGAACAAAAGGAAGAACGAACCCGGGTTGACGAAAACTTCTTATCATACAACTTCCATATACAAAAAACTTATTACCATACAGTTCCATACAACTCCATGAGTACTGAAAATTGCATGAAATCTCTACGATAAGCATTTTTCCATATTTTATTATTTTATGACAAGTATTTTTCCATAAACCAAAAATTTTGATTTTTTTTTCCAATTTTCATTACTGAAATTTTTGGGTTGTTTTGGTAACCGAAAACAAGTGACAAAGACCTTGGGTTAGTCAAAGCTGGAGTTGCCAAAGTTTGCACGGTCTTGCATTTAAAATGCACAGAAAACGTCTTTAAGCTGTCTTAAACAAATTGTATAACGAAAGCAACAAACTTTTAAATTTTGGCAAACATTTTTAACGATGACTGTTGTTAAAATTTGAATATTTAAACGGCCAGACATTGATCAAAGTATAATTAAACATGGCAGTCAAAAATAGGAGTTTTAAACTTTTTTGAAATAAGTCATTACGCGACAAGGAAAAAATCCAACATTAGTGTATCCAGGACTACGTTATGCATACAAAAAATTAAATTTTGCATGCAAAAAGTTTTTTTTTGGAAAATGGCTGTTGAGTACAACATTCAATTTGTGGTTAGAAAAACATTCGAAAAATTTGGGGTAATTTCTAAATTATTTGGCAAAATTTTTGTAGTCATCGTTCTTTGAAAGTTCGATGACGCCATTTTAGCAATTTGTATGAAATTTGTATGATTAGCATTTCGGTCTATGGAGGTCAACCCGGGAATAGAGCGTTCTTGTTGCGGAATCCGCTTATAATTCTCAAAATACCCAGTTTGGCCTCGTAATGCTTTTTTTTTCTGTAGAAAAATATACATTTTCCCATGTTAGTCTATTGCTGCAAAAATTTCTGCAATCAGAACATTATATGTCTTCTGCAATGCAACTGAATTGTGGTTAATTTGATTTTCAATGGTCCATTGATTCACATCTTTTCATGTAATATTTGTGCAACCAATTATGTATTGCTGAAGTTAATGAACTGATTTTTTTCTCTAATTTCGGTCAAAAAAATCTGTAGCAAAAATTTATAAACGTACAAAATTAAAAAAGGAAGCAAACCTGATATGGAGTTGATAATCAAGGCTGTAATTACATCATGAATAATTTTCGCCAGAAATCTACAATGAACTCTAACTTTGGATGATTAATTGGTAAAAAAAATGGAAGAAAAGTAATCACGAAAATTGTAACTCTCGTTACTTAATCCCAGCTTGAATAATGCAGTATGAGTTGATCAGAAGCATGAGTAATTTTCTCCCGGTGAAAAAAAATCAGCTTAGGGGGCGGGCGCGGATGTGTAAATAATAGGTACTGTCGGTTGAAAGATGGCTTCTTATTTCAGTTTATTCCAGACCCACTAGTTATAACAGGGGGTGGAGAAAGTTGAGCTAAACAGCAGAAGTGCTCATAAAAGCGGGCGCTAGGCAGATAAACTTTTGAGCCGAAAACTCATTTTAATGTGAAATGCTTGAAATTAGCTGCGTTGTAGTATTTTTTTATTGAGATTTTTTTCTGAATTTATGTAAAAAATTGTTTTTTTTTCTAAAGTGTAAGAAATTTCTTTTTTCTTTTTTCTTTATTGACACCTTGCAAAATAGTAGGCAATAACTTGAAGAAAAAAAAACAACGAGTTTTCAAAACTACTCGAGCTTAAGTCCTACAAAAAAGTTTAAGTCAGGTTAATGAAAAAATTTGCTTTGAATTAATTCTGCTTTGAATTAATTCTGCTCTCTGTAACGATATTTAAATCAGTCAGCTATCTCCCTTAGTCATGATTCGGTCGATCGATTTCGGGGAGGGAAAAGATGGTCACTTCATATTTCATTTCATCGCACGCACTAGTCGAGTATTTTTACAGTAGACGTTGTGTGGTGTTGAATTCAATTCCCACTTAAATCGGAGAAAGGGAAATTTGCTTGTCTGGAAAAGAGAAAAGAGGCTGGATAAAAAAAGACAAGACACTATAGGGTATGGAAAAAATAGATTTATATTTATAGCATATAGACAAGTTGGCATATACGAAGGAGGAATAAACTGTAAATGTTTTGTTCATACGTTGAAGTAATCAGCAAAAAAAAACTAGTTGAATTGGGCAAAAATAGAGGAAAAGAAATCTTGAGGACTCTTTTTGAATCTGATCAGGGGTGGATTTAAAGGGGTGGCTGCTTAGACGGCTCTTCCCTCTGGAATTCGACAACCTCAACGACCAAAGGGCCCGCCTTTTTTTAAAACTATTTTACTGCATCTAATTTTGGCCGAACGATCCTAAAACGCCTCTAACGGCGCCTTCGGTGTCAATATGCCCTAATTTCACTGACAGAGAGCGCGAGCCTAAGAAACCAGGATCTACTTAATAATCCCCCCCCCCCCCCCCCTGTGTTATCTACTAAAGAATCTCAACCCCTATAAATAACTACACTGAACTAGCAAATGTGCTTTTTAAAGTCTTCTAAATTTGCTGCATTCTGATTGGTAAAAAATTCAACAAACTAATCTAATTAACAATGTCCCCCCTTTCTTGAAGGCGGATTGGATTGTTAAGTCGTTTCAAAAACTACTTTTAGCCATTTTTTCCCAAGAAAACTAGGATTTCTTGGAAAAAACAAATTGGGAATTTGATCATAAAGTTGCGAATTTGAAAATACAGTTGGGAATTTGAAAATAAAGTTTGGAATTCTCAACTTTTTGCCTTAGAAAATTTCGACTTATGTATAAATTTTTCTTTCTGAAAGTAAGCCCTTCCAGTCTTTAAATATCTCTTACTCCTCCCCTGGTTATGATAAAACTTTTTATCTTAAATGACATGTTCATTAATAAGATCCGAGAACTGTACGGACTTTTTTGTGTTTTGAGAAAACATAATTTGGCGTTTTAAAGCATTTCGCGAAGACCAAAAAATGACCCGAAAAAATTGCGTTTTATTACACTGAAAATATATCTATTTTTTAGATTTTTCTCGCTTTTTTATCAATTTTTTATCATACTTAACTAACGATATATAAGACCAGGAAAAGAAAAATGATGAAACGTTTTTTTGAGTGTGGTGTTATGGAAAAGAAATCGACTAAAATGAAAAATTAATGAAAAACCACTTCCTAGATGACATACAGTCCATTTTGTTGTGTCAAATTTAACAAAAAGAGCAAATAAAAGAGATGCGTCAAGTGTGTTGTTTGTATTTGCTTCATGAAACCATCAATATTGGCTTAATAAGTGAAAACGTTTTAAAAAGGCGGAACTTAAAAATGAATATGAGTAAGCTAAGGCGTGTTTCTTCCTGTTTCTGAGCATAAATTATATTTGATACATGCCCGTCTAAAATTCAAGTAATTTATATTTAAAATTCTTCGTACTCTTATTTAATTTCACGCTTGAGGTCTATAAGAACGTAATTTTTAAGCAAAATTTATTCCTGGAAATTTGTATTTCAAAAGAATTCTATCGTATTTTTGTTAACCTAGCTGGGAACAAAAGTCAAGTATGGATAGCAATATAAAATATTATTATCTAGCTGTAGGAGAAACATTCATCATAGACAAAAACCTGCACAGCTTTTTCAAAAAAATAGAACTCAATTGTCAATTTAATCCTTCATATTTAAGCTGACGGTAAGTATTGTTTTGTGGTACTTTGTTTTTCTGGAACCAGACATGACAGCTAAAACTAACAACTGTTGCAGTGTAGACATTGTGCACTTATTGAGAAGATCTAGACAGACAGCTAATCAGAAAGCAAAAATGAGTAATGATAATTACAATAAAAAAACATGCGCTTTCTTAAAGCGGACATACGCGTGAAGTGTGTAGCAAAAATTTAGATAAAATATCATAAAATCCAGGGGGTGAATCTAGGATTTTTTAAAAAGAGGCTTAACTTCAAGATATTTTCAAAGAAATTACTTTTCTTTGATTTTTTGACTTAGTCGATTTTCCAGTTTTCCAAGATCACCAAGCAGGCCCTATTTTGCAAAAAATATAATCTTTTTTGAATTTTGACATGCGTTTTTTGACGCGACAATACCGTCAGTTTGGTACATGTTGGCGTCAGGGGCATCTCTAGCAAACTTAAGTTTTGCTCAGCCAAAAATGGATGTCGTAGAATAGTATCAAAGAGGAGAATCTTTGTGTGGTGAGATTGTGGAAATCCTGAAGAAGCGTCCTCTAGACCGCTACGCTCTATCCCCCCTCCCCTAAATCTACCCTTGCCAAAAAAATTTGAACCAGTTGTCTGTAGAAAAACAATCATTTTGAATTAGTTTTTGTAATTTGGAACATGTCTCAGAGAGCAACAGTAAAACAATTGATGTTTTAATTGTCACAGCAAATCCCGACCGTACTCACAACTGCAGAAAAAATTCAAGAAAAAAGTTAAGTTTATAAGAAATGATTTAAGCAGCAAGGTGAAGTTTGAGACATTCCGTCTAAGGACAACTCGCAAAGAAAGACAGCTTGCAAAATAAGACAACTGGCAAAGTTTCAAGAATGTGACAGCTTGCCACAAAATAAATCAAGAGGTTAAAGAAAATTTTTGGGTACGACATCTGAATTGAGGCTAATCAGTGCTTCAAGGAACCTGTTGTAAGTGGACCTTTTCTTGTAGCTATGGAAAACGTAAGCGCAGGGGGATAAAGGCCACCAATACAGAAATGTACGGTGTTCAATTGATAAAGTTGAGGTAAAATCATCTTAAAAATTCCGACACGAAGCCAAACTTTGCTAAGGATACGAGAAGCGCGTAAATTTTCCGTGTCTCCAAGAATTTTGAATCTTTCCTTGTCCTCTTTTCCGCTGTCATATTGACGAAAAGCAAATATTCTGTCGGAAAAGTAGAAGTGACGGTCTTTGATGAAATTTCTTCGAGTTGTTGTGCCCTTTTGTTTCGGTTGAAGGTTCTTGTCAAGGCTGCACGTGAAGTATGTGAAAGCCTTCTTGCCGGATTACTGTTCACTATTTGATGCTGGCTGCTATCAACTGGTTGTTTACAGGATTGACTTGAAATTTAGCTGTTTTTTTTTTCAGCTGATTAATGAAACGGTCCGCTTTCACGCGACCGGCTTTAAATTCATGGCTTTGTTCGTGATTCAAGGAATTACTAGTTTCATCGCAAGTTATAAGAGTAATTGGACATTTATGGGAACGCCTTTTTTGCAAAACGCCAGTGAATGGTAGACTTTGTATCTGGTTCTTTCATGGCTCATGTGCATTCAAGACTAGCAGCGTTTTGCCTTGCTGAGTTTTGCCATAAATGAAATGTGTCAAACTGTTGTGCATTATAATTGCGCTATGTAAGTAATGGTATATGTTTTGTTGTGTTTCATTATCAAAATTTTCTCAATTATGCCTCCAATAACAGCTGATTGAGACTCTTTTTAATTTCAATACAGAGATAAGCACCAATCTTCAATAATTTATATCTTAAAATAGATTTTAACCCATTTTGGGTTATTTTAGTTGAAGTGGGCTATAATGGCATGAGCCTTTGTGTCCATTGAGATATAGTAGTATGGGATGTTTTTCAATAAGATACTTTTGTATGGTATTTTTCTAAAAAGTTTTTCTAAAAAGACGAGAAGTTATTTGATGTATTAGTTTCCAGGGCGTAATTTTAGCTGCAATAATTATTGCGTTGAAAAAAGTATAATACAGCGACACTCTTTACAAAAATGTGGAGTCCGTCATATTGTTTGGTTTCAATCAGTCTTCACGATTCGCAAACTTCCACGCCCGACCGAAAAAAAATGTTCAAATGTACCTAAAAGTTGCGTGTTTCGTGTAATTAAGGCCCTTTAAGTGATTCTATGCTACTCACACATTTTTCATATCCCAAGATCAGGGAGTCAAATTGTAACTTTATATAAAAAAAAGAAATTAAGTCCAAACCGACAGAAATAATTGAAGAACATGTTTTATTTAATCTCATAATAGCGGCTAAGCTCATAATAGAGACTAATTCGCGACTAAGCTTTGATCTTGCTAGAATATATGCTCAAATTTGATCGATTAAATCGTGACACACTCAATCTTACTTAAAAATTGAGTTTCAGGAAGAAAAAAATTTCTTAAATATATGTACATTTTCTACAGCAATTTTACACGTTTGAAACCGTTTGACTTAGACTATTTAGTTCCATGGGTCCTAATTATTTTTCCATTTCCAGCACAATCGAACAGCAATCTAGAGTCAATGATGAGCTTTTCAGAGGCTAAGCAGAGTCGCAAGTATTCCGAGTTTAGAACGAATAAAAGTTCATTTGCAATTTTTGTGATTCACTTTCCATTTGGAGTTGCACGTTTCTATACCCTATTTACAGGCGGGTTTTGTAACGTTTCACATCCACTTTTTTAGAGTAAAGTCACAGGG